AGGTAACAAAAATAGTTGGTGAGTTTCTCTCTATAGAAGCAATCCAGCTAATAAATTGAAGAAAAGAAACAGATATAAGTAGCTGCCAACATCACAGAAAAAGACTTCATGCTCCTTCTAAAGTAGGGCATATCACTACCACGCACAGCACAAGTCTTGCTGTGTAGTTCAGGCTGCCTTGAACTCCCTTGGAGCCTAGGCTAGCCTTGAACTTGCAGTGATTCCCACTACCTCAGCTTCCTGAATGAGTTCTGGGATCACAGTGCTGGCCACCTTACATTTAAAGCAGTTTTGTAAAACAGCAAAAATCCACTTGAAGTAGATGACCAGTAGATTGGACCCTGTGTTTGCCAGAAATGCCGGGACTGAAGAACAAGTTAAGAACCACCACAGGGCTGCAATCACCAGCATCTGGGCTAGAGATGCTCCAGTTTCAGCTGTAAATAAGTACCTTAAAAGGAAAGAGAAAGTGCTTCACTTCCCAACCCTCTGCACTGCCCCCCTTTATCCAGAGCACTAAGCCCCACAGGATGTACCCTCTCCCACTCTGTCCTTTGCACCCTTAGCCAGCACCTGGCTCCCTGTGCTTCCTCCTGTGCTCCTGGCTGCTGGTCCATAGGCAGTTCCTGGCTCCTCCTTCAAGTTTGCCCAAATGCCACTTCTCCCTCCACCCCACCACTGTGTCATCTTTCCTTTCCTCTTCTCCTCCCTCTTTTCCACCCTTCCTCCTTTCCTTTTTTCCTTCTTTTCTTTCTTTCTTCCTTCCTTCCTTCCTTCCTTCCTTCCTTCCTTCCTTCCTTCCTTCCCTTTTTTTCCAGGGCTGAGGACTGGAGCTAGGGTCTCATGTACTCTAGGCCAGTGCTCTGCCACTGAACCATACACACTTCCTTGCCCTCCTCTAAAGTGTGTTTCACAATTCTGGCCAATTGTGGACTGAACTTACTTGTTTAGCTATTGTTGGTCTCACCCAATCAAAATGTAAATCCCAGGAAGGTAATAAGAGTGGTTTGGGGCTGGCGAGATGGCTCAGTGGTCTAAAGCACCTACTTAGAACAAGCTAAGCAAAGCACAGGGACCACGGTTCAATCCCCCAGCACCACATGCCAGCCAGCCC